TTTTTTGCTTTCGTCGCAGCTCTCATGTATGCCAGTATATTTGGAAACGTGTCTGCCATTATCCAACGGCTGTATTCAGGTACAACCCGCTACCACACTCAGATGCTGCGGGTCAAAGAATTTATCCGATTCCATCAAATCCCAGGCAACTTGCGCCAAAGGCTAGAGGAGTACTTCCAGCACGCGTGGTCATACACAAACGGCATCGACATGAATGCTGTGAGTGAAAAAGTCAGTGAGTTGTTCTTCCATGTTCATCGTTTATGCCTGTTGACTTTTTATGTTCTTGATGGCTCTTCTTTTCCCACCCAAAGGTGTTAAAAGGATTTCCGGAATCACTGCAGGCGGACATCTGTTTACACTTGAACAGGTGTCTGTTACAGAACTGTAAGGCCTTCTGTGGAGGCAGTCAGGCCTGTCTGCGTGCATTGGCTATGAGGTTTCGAACGGTCCATGCACCGCCAGGCGATACTTTAATCCACTACGGAGACATTCTGGACTCTCTCTTCTTCATCTCCCGTGGTTCCATCCAGATCATTAGGGATGATGTGGTGGTAGCCATATTAGGTAATATTTGATCGTAATCATTTGGGCTACCAACATTTGGTACTTAAGGAAATGTCTTTAACGAGCCCCTAAAAAATTATGTAGATTTACCAATTTTGACAGTGATTTTTTATTTTATTGTAAACCACAAGAAGAGTTATATATTTTATATCTTAAAAAAACTAGTCTAAATATATATCTAACATTTTCAACACCTTGCAGAAAAGAATGACATCTTTGGCGAGCCCATTCACCTGTATGACGAGCCAGGGAAGTCCAATTCCGACGTGCACACGAGCGCTTACTGTGATCTCCATCGCATCCAGAGGGATGACCTCCTGGAGGTCCTAGACATGTACCCTAGCTTCGCCGACAACTTCTGGAGGAACCTGGAAATAACCTTTGACCTGAGAGATGTAAGTTTATTGGCTTGAATTTAGGGAAACTAGCAGAAAAAT